GAAACAAAAATAAATACTGCCTGTTTATAGAAGTAACCATTAGGAAGCAATGCAGATTCTAGTATTTGTCATACCAAAGACAACAAGGCATATCTTAGAAACACGACCCTAAGAAAGTAATGAAAATTTTAGTAGGAACCCCATTAAAAAAATAGGGAGTGTATCTTTGATAATCTGCTTACAGTGTATACACACAATGAATGGATAAATAAAAAGAAATTTCAAGGAGAGACAACCTACCCCAGCAATGCTGCTCGTACCATCTAGGTAAGTGTGATATGGGTCCATGTTATGTGCTGGGATAAGCAATAGGGGGCACATTTAACTTCTTTCTGAAATCGTTTATGAATCCTTTCGTGCCCCACCAAATTATTAAATCCACAATAAGATAGGATAGCTGAAAAGTGAGGGGATAAAGATGTCAGAATCTGAATATCCATATTTCAGAGGAAAATAGAGACAACAATTTCACAATCATATACACCAAGGGACTAATTCACATGTTTAAATGGCATGCACACTCATCGGCAAATCGGCTTCACGGCGGCAATTGCAACAGTGAACCCATCGCCAGTGTTCTTCCTGATTTCTCTCGATTCCCAATTTCCCTCAATTGTCAATTGAGAATAGAGGATGATTATCCTTAATCCTTAATTTGTCAATTGGTATTCCCTCTGTAGAGAAATATAAGAGCGTTTAGATCACTAAAGTAGTGATCTAAACACTCTTATATTTCTTACAGAGGGAGTAGTATAGAAAGGGCCACTATCAGCAGTAGGGTTTGGATTTGAGAAAAGTGCAGCTCCTGTATTTGAGAAAATTGGCAATATGACAAGCAAGCAATGCAGGGAAACATGTATCGATTCAACCAAATAATAAGGGTATATCTGGCAATAAAGTAGAAGGAAACAGAATAGAGATACCACATGCCGCACAAAGGATTGTCCGCAGCATATTAACATAAACTTCATGATTTTTTAAGATGAATTAACTTCATCATTTTCTTCTCACTTAAGATGTTAATCATGCAAAAAATGATTTTGCAACATAAGAAACGGTGAGCCTAACTACTCAAGTATGGATGTATGGGGTGTGTTGCCGAACAGGCCCTAGTATCCTTTACAATTAACATGTACCGCATATGTGTCTCAGATATGACATATGGAAACTTTTTTTACATAAGAAAACTTGCATATGTCATATCTGAGACATATATAGTGAAATCCATGCAAATGTTAGTTAAAGCAAACTATACCATGCGTAAACCTGAATCATAGCCATGCATGTTCCCATGCGCATGTTGAGAAGACTGGGGCCATTATTTGAACAAACATGTATATGAGAAAAGATAAATTAGTAATAGCAGCGGATGCTTCTTGACACTAATATAATTGGACACATTGTGAACAAAACTTAAAAATGAGGATAATAACAACATATACTATTCCACCCCCCAAAAAAACCCAGTATACAAGCAGTGCAAAGTGGAATATAGTGGTTTTCCTTACATTAACCTTATATGACATAATATCAATATATGCTAGTACTGTAGTCAATAACATGTACAGAGTAAAAGGCTAGTGCATTTTGAGTATTTGACTACAGACTAAGATATTTAGACCTACAGTTTCCATCGTGGATACATGTTACATGACCCTGTTAGCATAATACACTGTACAAAGATAAAGGTAGTTCATTTTGTGTTTTTCACTACAAATTAAGATATTTAGACTAAAAGCTGAGGTTCTTTTCTCATTAATTGACACGAGTTGCAGTAGGCAAGGCACATGATATGTTTTCATGTGCAGAACCGCCAAGTAGTGTCACTGTATCACATCGACATGCAAAAGCAATTACATCTCCACGTTTAAGCATCCAGGAGATCTACATGTCTCGTCTTAATTGAG